AGCACAGATCAAAACATAACCATTTAAGCAGAATAGTGTTTCACCACCAGATAATCCTAACCTAAAAGTAGTTACCATATTGTCTCTTTCCTTGAAATCCTTGAGTACAACTTCATATACTGTAGCATTAAGTATATCAAAACAATGTAAAACCATTTAAGAGAATGACAGCATTACAGAGTACTTAGAATCGACTAACAGAAAATGAACAATGGTTTCTGTATAATCTCCTTGTCTTTAAAAGGTTTTTGCTTATACTATCGTACATAATAAAATCCAATAAGATACAACCTATTTAGACCATTGGAGACAGAAGGACAAAAGCTAGATGAGACTTCAAAACAAGATGATACTAAATCAGTATTACCTATTAAGATGTCATTTTCTCCAAAATAGCTGTTCCTATCATCCAATCTTCTCTGCCTCATTTCTGTTGAGCTCTTTTTCTGTCAGTAGCTGTCAGTTTGTCTTCTTTATTTTGTTCTCTGCTCCATTCATTGTGGCCTCCCCGCCACTATTTCTGGATTCTTTGTATTTTTCTTTTTTTAGAATATCCTGCAATACTCTCTGTAGAGTTGAACTGGTGGTTGCAAATTCCCCCAGTTCCTCTTTATCCTGGAAGCGCCTTGTTTTTCCATCAATTTCCAGGGATAGTTATGCAGGATATATCAATCTTGGCTGGAGATTATTATCTTTCAAAGCTTGAATTATTTCCCCCCACGCTCTTTGTGATTTGATGGTTTGTGCAGAGAAATCTGCTGTAATTCTGATGGGTGTTCCCTTGTAAGTGGTCTGTTTCTTGTCTCTGACAGCTTTTAATATTCTGTTCTTGTATTGAATTTCTGGAATTTTTATTATTATATGCCTGGGTGTTGCTCTGTTTGGGTTGTAGGTAGCTGGGGTCCTGTATGCCTCATATATCTGAGTATCTTTACCTTTTGCTAAGTTAGGAAAATTCTCCTGGATTATTTCTGTGAGTAGCTTTTGTAGTTCACTTGTTTGTGTCCCTACTTCTTCTTTTATGTTCTTAATCCTTAAGTTATGGATCCTCTTATCATCTTCTTGTCTTTGTATTATTGCTGTTTGTTTCTTTGTTATTATTAAGAAGTTTTTCATTTCATTCTCCCATATTACAAGTCTGCCCTCCAGTTCAGATAGTCTGTCCTTAGTTTCTTTCAAGCTGTTATGCCAGTCTTCGATAGACTTCTTAGTATCTTGGTAGTCCCTTTGAACCTGCTTCATGTATTCTATGCTTTCTCTGTTTTCTCCATCAAACAATTCTCCCCTCTTTTTCTGTTCTTCCATTCCACCATCTGTTTTTTCTTGGGTGGTGCTTAGCATTTCTCTAACTATTCTGCATACTTCTAGCTTCAGGTCGTTGATAACTTCATTCCTGAATTGGTCTATGAGGCTCTCTATATGGCGCTTAATGTCTATTGGTGCGGTGTTCGCTATTGCCCGTTTCTCAGAAAGGCCGAGGAGCCTTTCTTGTTGCTGCCTCTTCCCATATTCTCTGTTCCTTATATATACAAGCTTATATAAGAGGCCCAGCTTCTCTCCCAGTCAGCCACAGCCTAATCAAATTGCGCCGGTTAGGTGTTCCCGCTCACCGCTGCGCACCAGGGAGTTACGGACCAGGCAGCCTACTCGTCGCCCCTCCCGGCCACCGTCAGGCTCTGGGATCTGGGTTGGGCCAGCCTACCGGGTCCACCAGCAGCGTCAAGCAGGCCAGGCACTTTTCACCAATCCCGCCCGAGAGGGGGATGTGTGGCTGGAATCGCCACCGCGCCCTGCTCCTGCAGGACTGCTCGGGCCCAGAAAGTCCTCCGCTGGAGTCAAACTGTGGTAGAGTGTCAGTTTCTCTCACTCACCTCACCACAAGTCAGTGCACGCCTCCCTGCCCGTCCTGTTTTCGACTCCGTTCGCAGACTCCCGTTCTCAGAGTTTCCGCGCGTCTCTCTCCTTGCCGAGCCGATGTAGAGGCAGCCAGCCGCCGCACGGCGGGAAACCCAAATCGCGGCTTCCAGTGGCGCAGGGTCCAGCCTCCACACCGAGGCTTTTCTGTTCCTGTTTTAGCACCAGGACTGCATTCCAAGTTGGTTTCTCTCAGCCCAGTTCGTTCCTGAGTCAGCAGAGCATATCTCCACCTGCTTATGTCTCCTTAGTCCGCACCATTCCTGGCTTCTGAGCCGAGTCTTTCAGAGAGCCTCCGGTAGTTGCTGTTATCTGTCCGCCATGTTCTCCCGGAATTCAAGATTTTCTTTCAGTATCCTTAAATATTTGCCTTGGTGTATTGAATTCCACTCATAGTGTTACGGATTTTTTCTCCTCCTCCTCTTCTTTCTTTTCCTCTTCCCCTTTTCCCTCCTCTTTTTCTTCTCCTTTTTGGAGCGGGATGATTTTTATCAGCTGAGGGGTTTTTAATTCTTACTTTGTTTTTTTTATAAAAGCTACAGCAAGATAAGGTGGACTTTGCTCACTTCATGGCCAGGGTTGGCAGTTTGTGGTTTAGGGTTCTTGATTTATATGCGATCTTATAAATTTTTTCTTTCTTACTGAACCTGAGATTTTCATGCTAAAACAGATCTTCAGCCTTAGTTATTTGTTTTTTGTTTGTTTGTTTAGTTTTGAGACAGGTTCTTGTCAAGTTGCTAAGTTGCTCAGAGTGGCCTTAAACTTGTGATCCTCCTGCCTCAGCCTCCCAGAGTGCTGGGATTATAAGCATGTGCTGTTGTGCTTGGCTGTAAATTTTCTTTAACAAGTGGCATTGTCTGGAGTGGTGTGGTTGTCTGTCTGCTTTGAGCAGGGGGATTTCTCTTATATTAGGGCACTGATCCCCTCGTGAGCCCCAACCGCATACACTCATCCTACTGCCTCTAACACCTTTCTGCTAGAATGAGGGCTTTAGCTTGAATTTTGGGATATAAGCTCTGGTCCACTGCCCTGGTGGTCGTGGTGCAGCCATATACCTAAACAGTGTCTGTCAGTCTGTCTGTCCTTGGTTCCTTTGGCCGGACATCAGAAAGAACATGTGTCCCCTGGCCAGGTGCACAAGGCTCCCTCGGGGGCTGGACAGGCCTCTCTCCATCCCTCAGTGCTGGAGAGGTGGCAGCGGCCCGCCACACCTAGGACAGCATGTGGCTACCACAGGGACGGGGGCCAGGAGGCAGGAAGCCACAGTCTTGTCCAGAAGCTAGAGTATCCCACAGAGGAGTGTGCGGACCCTCCTCCTGCATGCATGCAGTCTGCCTCCCCCTTCCCTAGCTGGAGGGACAGCATTCAAGATGTGGTCAGAGCGGGGATGGAGGGATGCATGTGGTGGGGCATGGGCTATAGCCAGGGGACAGAAGTGGTGGGGCTGCTCAGGGGGACACTGCAGGGACAGAGACTCTGGCGGAGCAGAGGGTGGAGGGCCACTTCAGAGCTGAGACCTGCACAGGGCCTGGAGAGACTGGATCCAGCCAGAGCCAGCTGGAAAGATAGAGGTTGGATCTGTAACTGGCAGCAGCCAGCCAGAGACCTCGTACTGGCCACGGAGGCCACCAGCTACTGGTGGGGGTCACCATTAGCCAGCCATGCGGGAAGCCCCACGCTGTCCCTAGTGACTGTCAGGAGGCCACCGAGAGCTGAGAATGTGTGATCCAGGCTGCCCAGGACTCACTTAGTAGCTGTCGGCTCCTGATGTTTGACTTAGGATGCCTGGAGGGACTGAACTCACCCTCTGACCAATTCCGGGACCCACCAGAACCTGGCCTCAGGGCCATCCATGTCTTCAGCACCTTCTTTCCCCTACGGGGATGGCCCTGCCCATCTCCTGGTCTCTGCTCTGTGCGGTGGACATGGTGATGCCCCTGGCAGCTTGGAATTGGTAGCCTGGCTTTCCCCACCAGGGTTCTACGTGCCCACACTGGAGCACCCCAACCCTGGGCATGGCCACAGTGCCCTCTGGTGGCCATGCTGAAAACCAGCTTCTGCCATGCTCTCTCTGGCCCCACCAGTGAGGTCTCTGAGGGTCCGGGCCCAGCTGCCCCACCCTTCAGACCTGAGATCTGCCTGCTCCTCGGTTCTGTTTCACTGCCCTTGGCTGTGGCCTCACAGACTCAGCCACAGCCCTGCTTGTTGGTGACCAGTCATGTGTGTGGCTGGAAGTGGGCTTAGGGCAGGAACAGGCAGTCTGTGAGGCACTCAGGGGAGCCTCACATGGGCCGGCCACACACTCCTAGCCTTCTTTCCTGATCTTGGGTCCTTGCTGAGGGCAAAGCCAGGTGGAGATGCAGGCTGAGGCCTCAGCAGGAGTCTACAGGCCAAAGCCCCCTCCCTTAGACCCCAGTGGGATCCTTGGCAGGAGCTCCCATAACCTGGTGGCGGGAGGTGCAGGCTGCAGACAGCTCCTGGGGCCCTGAGGTGGCACAGATGGAGCTGGCCACAGGTCTGGAGAGTGGGCAGGTTTGATGGGGCAGGAGGAACAGGACAGTCTGGCCAGGGGACCAGCTGAGGAGTCTTGGCAGGCAGAGAAGGGTGGGAGGCCAAGAGGGGGTAGGAGTCCTCTGGGGAGCAGGCCTGTTTAATGGCTGGACCGGAATCCAGGCCATGGGCAGTTTCTGGCAGGGCCCCTCGCTCCTGACCACCACATCTGGCTGTGGGACTGGCCTCATTGCCCCGATGGACCCTGCAGAGCTGTGCTGGGAACTTCCCAGGATCAGCTGGGGTTGCGATGGCTAGTCAAGGATGCCCATTCTGGAGACTTGAGTTGGGGGAGTGCGGAGGAAAGCAGGGAGGAGCCCACATGGCCCCTTGGCAGGGGCCCTGCTGTGAGTTGGAGCTGTGCACAGGGCCCCCTGTGTAATGATTGCCCCTGGGTCATTTCATTACTTTGCCAGAAGAGCAGCCAGGCCAGTGTCGCTGGTTGGGGCTGCCCACGTGGCAGTGGACAGAGCCATAAAAACGGTTCTTGTCTGGAGCAGAGCAGGCCAAGCTGTGTGGTGTGAACCTCTGGCAGGATGGGGGTGGCCCAGCTGACCATTCTCCTGGCTTTGGTGTTCATGCCCAGGGCCCAGGCAGCGTGGCTAGGGAGACTGGATCCTAACCAGGTGACCCCTCCGGACAGCAGGGTAGCCTTGGGGTGCCAGGCTCCTCCCAGGAGGCCACACAGCTTCTGGGTCCCGCAGGGCCAGGCCAGACCAGCATTGGGGTGGGGGCTGCACAAGGGCCTGGGGCTCCCCAGCAGCGATGGTGAGGATAGTGGGGACCTTTCCACTGCTGGCCTCCACACAGCTGCTGGGGCCCTGGTTTGTCCTTGCTGTGGCCTCCCGTGAGAAGGGCTTCGTGCTGGAGAGGGACATGAGGACTGCGGAGGCTGTGGTGGTGACACTCACTGCAGAGAGCAAGCTTGAGCTACTGTCCTCTCGGCAGGGGTGAGTGGGCAACACCCAGGCCACACCTGGCACGGGCTTCCTCAGTGACCATGGCCACCCGCTCAGCCCAAGGCTACGTGGATCCTGCCCCTGACCTCATGCCCCTCTGTGCTTTCTCCTGACTGTGCCCCGTGCCACGCGCTTCTGCCTGCCTCTGCCCTGTGTCCCTGGGTGCTGGGCCTGCCACTTCCTGGTTCTTGGCTGGCTGGGCCACCTGTCCCTGCTGCAGCCCATTCTGTCTGATTCTTCTCTGAAGGACAAGCACAAGTGGGCCCTGCACATGGGTCCTGGTTCTGTCATAGAACCAACTCCACGGGGATGAGGTCACCAAGGCTGCATGCCACACTGCCCACTTGGGCTTGGCTGGCCATAACCAATGGGCAATGGGCACAGCAGGCCTCATGGTGCTGGGGACAGCAGTGGGGGAGGTGGTAGCTTTGGCACCAGCATTCCTTCCTAGGGAAGAGGGTCAGGGCCCGTCACAGGCTGGGGTACCTTAGCCGGGGTTTCCTGCCTGCTGAGTGGCTTCACAGGGAGGTCAGGGTCACCAAGCAGATATGTGGTGGAGAGGAGCACTGTCTCCCTCCCCAATGCCACCCTCCTGCCCAAGCACCCTAAGGAGCCAGTGCCTGCCTTGTCCACCTGGCCGAGCCTGCCCAGGCTGTGTGGAATTGGTGGAGGTGAGCCTCTCCGATCTGTGGCTTCTGACACCCCAAGGCTGCAGGTGCCATGGGGATAGCAGGAGCTGGGTGAGCACTGGTGGGCCAGAGGAATCCAGATGGACACTTAGTACTGCGGGAGCTTAGGGCTGCAAGCAGGTGGGGACTCACAGGACTGGCGAGGGGCAGCCTGTGGCTTTTGGATTTGGCTTGGATTTTGTCTGCTAGCCTCTGAGTAGGAAGTTCCCTGGCACAGTGTGAAGCTCTCCTGGAGTCTGTGGCGCAGGGCTTTCTGGTGCAGCCTGGGTTTTACTCTGGGGAGAAGCGTGACCAGGACTTATGACCGTGTGACCGCCCAGCCCTGTTTGTGGAGTGGCATCTTTCCGCGCTAAGCTGACTTTCCCTCTGGTCTTTCTGTTCTGTTCCTTTTGTCTGTTTTACTGATTGTAGTTTCAAGATGTGCCCTCTGTCTTCTAGATGAGCCTCCTCAGGGGCTGAGACCTTGGGATGCCTGGGCCCCAACTTCTTTGGGAGCCTTGGGGTGGTTGCTGTCCTCACACAGACCTGGCACCCTGGATCCTGGGATCAGAGGGAAACCATTGTCGTTTCTCAGGGCCCTGCCAGCTGTGTCCCCAGAGCAGGACTTCAGGGGCCTGGGGCCCTGGTGGGAGAGGATTCACTCTGTGGTGTCCCTGGCCACTGACCTCTGGTGGATTCCCAAGCACCCGTGTCCCCTCGTGGCTGGCATCAAGCTGAGTGCGGGGTCTCTGCGTTTCCAGGCTGGAGGGCTGCATCCAGAGTGTGATGCATCTGCAGCGGCAGGACTCGGGATGGGTGTTTCAGAACCCCTGTGAGTGTGGGGGTGAGGGGCTGTCGTCCAACAGGGCTGGTGGGGACCCTGGGGGAGTCCAGCCTGGTAGCATCCTCTGGGTCTGGTCACAGGGCAGAGCTGGCTGTTCCTGAGCCCTAAGTTATAGGATCTGACATTATGGGCTTGGCGCTAGAGGGTAAGAGGGCACCCTAGGCCTTATGACCCCCAGATGGGCCCAGATGCCTGTAGGGCCCTGCTCAGGTCCCTGGCCTGTCCATGGGTGCCCAGGACAGGGCTGGACAAAAGGAGCACTTTGGATGACAGTGACTCCAAGAGGAGCTGAAACAGGCACTTGTCAGTGCCTACGAGGACCTGGGGTCAGAACTTGGGGCCTCTCCACTGGGGTCTGATGGGACTCCTCTTGGACCTGTCCCTCGTCCCTGTGGCTGACGCCAGTTCTGGGCCCCGCCTGGGGCATCTGCTTTGTAGCTCTGGGCGTGCTGGAGTACCGGGTGTTGGGCACCAACTTCAGAGACTACGCCATCGTCTTCACGCAGCTGGAGTTCGGGGATGAGGCCTTCAACACCGTGCAGCTGTATAGTGAGTGGGCTGTCCACAGCCCCAGTGCTGGACACTAACCCTAGTCCTAAGGCTGTTCTCTTTCCTGAGGCTCACTGTGCTGGGGCATCTTCAGAGGGACAGGGGCCTCTCTGTGCCCTCAGGCTCTCTGTGCCTCCCCTGCCCAGGTCGGACAGAGATGGCCAGTGAGGAGGCCATGAGGCTCTTCACCAAGTGGAGCAAGGACCTGGGCTTCTGGCCCCAGCAGCAGGCCCAGCTGCGGAGGGACTGTGAGTGCCATGAGGACAGGGGGCCAGGTGGTTCTGATGCCCATGGGCATGGTGGGTCCAGTGGGGCTATCTCCTGGCCTTGTCCACCCCACCTGAAGTCAGGCCTGTGGGGCCGGCCCTGTCAGGAGGGGTCCTGGGCATGACTGGGTCCTCAGGGTCATTTTCTCTTCCCTTCCAGTCAGCTGTGCACACAGGATCCTCCAGGTGAACCGCTTACCCCTCCTGTACCGCCCTGGCTCCCTGGGAGAAGAGAGGAGACCAGGGGCCTAGGGGGACCCTTGCCCAAGCCCATGTGGGCTGCTGGCCATCACCTGTCTGGGGAGCTGGCACCCAGGGTGCCTTCTGTTTCCAGTGAGTGCAGCGGCAAAGGTGCAGCAGCGTCCTCGGTGGCCAAGGGGCCAGTGCTGGCGCACCTACTCCCCTGGGCTCACTGGGAGGGGAATAAAGAGGCTGTGCAACAAACTTGCCCCATGTGTCTGGACTGGGCCTGGCTGTGTGTCCTGGGGTGGGGGAGGAGCCAGAAGCCCAGTACAGGGGTAACTAGGGTCAAGGAGGCCACTGGAGGCCGAGGATGGCCACAGAGCCCAGTCTGGGACCAGAGAACTCATTGAGCCTGTGTCTGTGTTTCTCACCAGGTCCCTTGGGGCTGGGGACAGAGCCACGTCTCCCTCAGGGACCTGAGACAGCCTAGGACAGGTGGGGGCTGACTTGGCAGGGGTGGAGCCAGAGCCTGGAGGATAGGACACTGTGGGCTGGCACCAGACCAAAGGGCCAGTCCTAGTGTCCATTGCTGGATGTCATGGTGACTGTGCATGGCCCCTGCAGGAGTGTACTGCCATGCCCAAGCTTGGCTTCCTCAATCTGGGGCACTGGCTGTTTCTGGCTTATGGGCCTGGGCCTGGGGTCCTCTTGGGCCCAGGAGGGGGACGCTGTGTTAGGTATGGGTGAGATGGACCAAGGCTGACGGGGGGTAAGTATACACAGAAGCCCATCCTTGAGGCTGGGCATGCACTTGTGCACATGTGTGTACCACTGGCATATGTGGACCTGTGTGCACATGGGCACAAGTCCCTCCCACCTTTCCTCTGCCACCCGCTCAGGCACTGTGGCTTCAGGAGATGGCCCCAAGTCTGCACCCAACCCCTGCTGGCTCCCATGGGTGTCGGTGTCCGAGCTCCCGGCCGGCAGGAAGGACACACGACAAAGTCTGGCGGTGGACAACCTTTTCTTTTATTTTCCTTCTCCGTACAGCCTGCCCCGAAGCCTCTACCGGTCCGCTCCCCGCGGCTCCTTTTGTGCTTCGCTCCGAAGCCTCCTCTGGTCCGCTCCCCGCGGCTCCTTTCGTGCTTCAGTCCCTCTCTCTCTCGGGGGTGGAGGCACTGGCTATATATAGGATTAATAGCTAGGCAGACTACCCTGTGAGGCGGGAACTTAGTGGGGTGATAAGAAACAGGTGCCACACAGGCGGGCTCGATGAGAGGGGTAATCTAGCCCAGGCTTTTGTACTTTCCCACAGGCCTCGCAATCACCGCGTCTGATGACTTGACAGTGCCACGGCTCCCAACATCTCCCCCTATTTTATTTTAAATGAATACGCGCATCGCAGCCCGTCCTGGATAGAGTGCAGAGGCCTATGCCCTGATAGGAGGCCCACCAAGGGCTCTCGGCGTCGGCCCGGGTCGGCCGTCCCCGAGTCTGCCGAGGCCCCGAGGCCCTCGTCCTTTTTTCTAGGGCCAGGAATGAACCGGACGGAACCTGGTTGCACATAGGCATGCACTCATTTCTCTCCACGAATCCCCTCGGAGAGAAATTTATCTAACAATCCAGCGGCTTTCGAGCGGAACGGGGTAGGGCCTGGCTTAGGTTGAGTCGTGCTGGGGAGGCACGCTCTTACCCGTCATTGACTCATCCACCCTGCTACATGTTGTTGTCTAGGGAGGAGAATGTGGGAAGCCTGTCACTTTTAAACGCGGTCGTAGGCCATGCGAGCGAGCCATGCGTATGCCTGAGGATCTTTTTGTCCATTTTGGGCTACCGCTATTTCTATTCATCTTGTTGGTTGGTCTGTGATGGATCTCCGGCAGGGCAGGTCTGATCTTCAGTCGAGGGCTTTGTCGCGTCAACCTCTCTGGGACCAACAGTGGTTTTCGTCCCGGTTCCTGCAGAAAGACACAAACCGCGCCTCGGCTTCCTCTTTTGTATCTCTGCCCTCCTTGACGGACCCTTCTCGGGAGCTTCCTGACTGTGCCTGTTCAAACACCTCGCGTACTTCTACAAGTTCTTGAGAGCTCCCCCCGTAACTACCCTCACTCTTTAGGCACGTGTGTATCATTTCCCACAATGGACGAGCAGAGACTGAAGCTCTACCCTCCCGCTCTGCTAGGGAAAGGTCTCTGCCCAACTTTTCCCAGGAGGGCAGGTTTACATGCCCTGTAGGCAGAAACCAGGGAGCAAAGCTGTCAATCTCTGCAAGGAAATTTTCTAAAGTCTTACGCCCCACCTTGAGGTCCTTGGACTTTAGGAGTCTCCGAAGGACCAACACCAAGGCTGTGTATCTTTACTTGGCATGTTTCCCATTTTTAATATATCTTCTGTTATTTTTACTTGTATGTTTATGTTTTACACTCTTTTATTACCTTAAGTTCTGGTGTTATGTTTCATACTCACCGCGTGAGGCCCAAGAAACCCGCCACTTACGCGTGAGGTTGAGAGGAGTCTACAAACCCTGTAGGTGCGCGCCACCCAGGGCCCAGGCTTATCCTCTACTCACCTGTCTTGCAGCACTGTACTGGAGCGTTGTCCACTTCACGTCTCGGGGGTGATCAGTCCCCGTGCGGGCCACCAAATGTCGGTGTCCGAGCTCCCGGCCGGCAGGAAGGACACACGACAAAGTCTGGCGGTGGACAACCTTTTCTTTTATTTTCCTTCTCCGTACAGCCTGCCCCGAAGCCTCTACCGGTCCGCTCCCCGCGGCTCCTTTTGTGCTTCGCTCCGAAGCCTCCTCTGGTCCGCTCCCCGCGGCTCCTTTCGTGCTTCAGTCCCTCTCTCTCTCGGGGGTGGAGGCACTGGCTATATATAGGATTAATAGCTAGGCAGACTACCCTGTGAGGCGGGAACTTAGTGGGGTGATAAGAAACAGGTGCCACACAGGCGGGCTCGATGAGAGGGGTAATCTAGCCCAGGCTTTTGTACTTTCCCACAGGCCTCGCAATCACCGCGTCTGATGACTTGACAGTGCCACGGCTCCCAACACATGGGTACTTCGGAGACATGCTATGCCAGCCTCCCACTCTTTGCCTCTCTCTTGGGGGTCGAGATGGGTGGAGTCTGGGTGCCACTGCCAGGAGAGGTGACAACACACGGAACACAGGGTGTGACCCCAGGGCTGCAACAGTGAGGGACACAGGGGCCTCACTGTGGCCCCCAGGGCCACCATGGTGTCATCTTCAGGGCCTCTATGCGGGCTGTGGCCATGGTGGCCAGCAGTGACGCTGAGTGATGGTTGAGTCCAGGGCCAGCTCTGCTGGGAGTCGCAGAGCACAGACCATACCTGCTGCCTCCTCCAGGTCCTGCCCACCTGTGGACTCCGTCCAGCTCAGCACCCAGGCAGGATAGACGCCCACAGTGGCGGGATGGAGAGATTTAAAGGTAGCGCCTGGGCCTTGCCTGGGCTGAGGGTGGTGAGGATGAAGCTGCTGCCCTGCCTGGCCCTGGAACTGGTCCTGGTGCTAGTGCTGGCCCTGGTGCTGGCCACAGAGCTCCAGCCACAGGAGCACTCATTCAAGGAGTCCCACAGCCTTAACTGGGGCAAGGTGAGCCATGCACTCTCGGGTGTATGTGCCAGGTGCAGGGCTTTGATGAGCCAGGTTACCACGGGCAGCAGTGGCAGGTATGCCCAGCAGGAGGGGAGGGCACAAGCTCCAGCCAGGCCAGGGGCTCTGTCCCTGCTGTCCCCATGTTGGATGCAGGGCTGAGAGCCTGATGAGGGGAAGGGTGAAGGTCCAGAGAACTGCGGCAGGGATTGACCGGGACCCTGCAAGGGTGGAGCAGGACAGAGTGGCTAAGAACACACTGGACAGAAGGTTCTGGGCGGGGCGGCCCCGGGCACAGCGGCTGGGTGGCTGTGGGGGCTGCACTCCCAAGCACACAGAGCCAGAGCCCTTGGGTCTGTGGCAGGAAGAGCCAGGGGTGAGAGGACTAGGGAGGTCAGGTGGCCCAGGGCCACGGGAGATCCCGGTGGGGAGGACCTGGCCTGTGAGATGAGCAGGGGCCTCCAACCTGCTGCTGCCCATAGCTCAGTGTCCTACTGGTCCCCAAGCAGCTGGCAGCAGCCTTTCTTGCACCTGGCATGGGCAGCTAAGCCTGGGCAGGGCCGCGCCTACTGGGGGTGTGAACTGGGCCTCAGGAAAGGCTGCTGTCCCCAGAGCCCTCCAGCCAGGAGTCAAGGGGACCACACCACAAGGACGCTCTGACACCAGCCTCCTGCACCCCAGTTCTCAGGGTTCTGGTACATTCTTGCTGTCGCCACTGACGCCCAGGGCTTCCTGCCGGCCAGAGACAAGAGGAAGCTGGGGGCAGCTGTGGTGAAGGTGCACAGGGCAGGCCAGCTGCAGGTGGCCATCGCCTTTAGCCGGTGAGGGGGGCAGTGGCTTCTGACACCCCTGCAGACCATTCAGGGGAGGAATGAGGGGGGCAGCAATGTAGGGGTCCACGAAGTCACCCCACCTCTGCCAACCCTGAAACCAAAGGGCGGCTTTGGGAGAGGCACCAGCTGCCCAGGGCTGTGCAGTGGGAGCTGGGCCCGATCGCTTCCTCCCCACTGTGTCCCATGCCAGAACATTCCAGAACAGCAAGACCTCCAGGTCTGAACCTGCAAACTCAGTCCCCTCCACATCCCTGTCCCCAGGCCCCAGAGGAACCGAGGGTGGCAGTCGGCACCAAGAGATCTTGGAGGATTGGGTGGCTGTGGGCAGGCAAGGCCCTGACCTCCAGCTTTTGGCTCATTCCCCAGGTCTCGGGGCTGCCAGTCCCAGGAGGTGACCCTGAGGAAGGACAAGAAGAAGGCTGTGTTCAGGAACACCTGTATGTGGGGCCAGGCAGGGAACACAGGAGGTGGACAGGACACCCCAGAGTGTGTGGCGGGTGGGGTGGGCACGGGGCAGGTGTCTGGCTGGCTCTGGCCCACAGCTGACCACGCTGTCCCTGGTGGGCTGACCCAGAGGCTCCTTGGGGAGACTCTGGGTGCCGGGTGTTGGGCTGGGGCAGTGGGGCCTGGATCTAGCACTGGTGGCCATGTGAGCTCCCTTGCAGTGAAGGGTGTGATGGGCTTCCACGTGCTGTCCACCGACTACAGCTATGGCCTGGTGTACCTCCACCTGGGGCGCGCAGGTCACACCTACAAGAACCTGCTGCTCTTCCGTGAGTGATCTGGCTGGGGGGGGGGCAGACGGGCAGCAGGAGGGGTGCCAAGGGGGTAGGAAGCCTGGGACACAGAAGTGAGAGCTGGTGACGGAGAGGATGGGGCAGAAGGCAAGTGGTGACCTGTGGCTGGCAAAGAGGGCAGTGGTCAGGTGGACAAAGGACGTTGAGACCACAAGGTGGGGGCGGGGTGGTCACAGCAGGGGTGACAGGAGGCTGGGACCTGGGACTGCAGTGTGGGCTGTGCATCTGTGTGGATGTCGGATGGCTGGCATGGCTGTCCAGGGCATGTGGGCTCCTGGCCCTGGATGAGACAGGGCTGGGAGGCGGCAGTGGGACATGACAGGGAAGAGGACAGGGCGTGGCTAGGATCCTCCCTGCACAGAGGCTGTGTGGCTGTGAGTGTGGGGAAGCAGCTGAGCCCACTTCCAGCCCCAAGCTTGGGCTGCAGTGCCCAGGACATCCCTGTGGGAGGGGTTGGAGGGGCTCGGTCTCTGTCCTTGTGCTCCCAAGTGCCTGCCCTGCATGGTGACCCCGGCCTGAAGCCTCATGTCTTGGAAATGGCCCAGTGCTAGGATGGTGTTGGCAGGTGTGGGGTGGGGTCGGGGTGCAGCTGCCAGATGCCAGGAGGCGACTCTGCTGTGACCCGGCCCTGCAGACAGACATCGTGTCCCCAGCTTCCTGAACCTGAGAGAGTTCATGGATGTCAGCACCTCACTGGAGCTCAGCAGAGAGGCGGCCGTGCTCCCCAAGGACGGTAACTTCTGCCCCACCCGCGGCCCTGGGCCTATTGTCCCTCTGGATGGACCCCAAGGGGCGGGAGGTGCAGGAGGGTCCCACTGAGCCTCCAACCTCCAAAGCCAATCTGAAGGCACCGGTTGTGCACCCCAGGCCTCCAGCGCTCCCAGGCCTGGCTGTCCTGCCTCTTGGGCATGGTAACAATGGCTCTGGGGATGGAGGCTCTGGCTACCCAGGCTCGGTCACTTGCAGCATGCAGGAGCTGGGTGGAAGCAGGGACATAGGTCCTCAAATGGCCACCTACCTCTGTCCCCCCAGCCTCCTGTGCACACACCCTCCTGCCCTGACGCCTCGTCCTGCTGCTCTTCCTGGGCCGTGTGACCCCCGGATCCCACGTGTTGCTACAGATGCCAAATCATCCCCTTTGGTGGCTCCTGGAGGTGCTTGGTGACCCAGGCCATGCACAGTGGAAGCCCAATGGCTCTGACTCTGAGCACAGTGGCTCTGACTCCTCTGAGGAGGAGGAGCCTGCCACTGTGGAGCAGACCCCGCCCGGTGGCCGCAGTCTTCTCTATACTGCTGCCCACGGCCCCGGACCTCACACCTTCTCCGAAAGTCGCAAGCTCGTGGGTCCCCAGACTCATGGGCATCTGTGTGCCACGTACCAGGTGTTGGGTGAGCTGCTGGGCACAGAGCTTGAGTGCAGCCCTCGGGCTGGTGCCTGGTCAATCATGTCACCCAGACAAGCAGTCACAGACCCCGGGTACTGGCTCAGTAGCCACAGCATGCAGCAACCACACGTCCCGCCTGGCATGGGGTAGGGAGAGCACTCGCAGGAGGGAGGGACAAGGTGCTGAGACCTGCAGGTGACAGGTAAGGCCACAGCAGGAGCACCTGGGGGGAGGCAACGGCTTTGATGAGGCCAAAGTGGGAGGAACCTTTTCTAATTTTTATCTTGATGGAGTCACCAGGGGAACGGGTTCAGTCTAACCTGGACAGAACTCTGTGCTGCCCATCGATGCTCCAGAGGAAGATTCTTGAGGACCACAGTGTCCCAAGGAATTTTCCTGTGTCTGAGAACAGGCTCAAAGGATTTAATGGGACATGGGGGAGCCCTCCACCTCCCCTCACCACCCAAGGCACCATTCAGCCAGGGGAACAAACAAAGGGTGCCCTGGACAACGGGGTGACCTGACAGGACCCACCCTGACTGAAAGGGCCAGACCCCACACCCTGGCCATTCCACATACAGAACCCCTGGAAAGCGGAAGGTAATTTGCAGGTCCACAGTAGAGCAGGCGATGCCCAGGTGCTTCTGGGATGATGAATGGAAGTGAAACCCCAGAGCTAGGCTGGAGGAGAGTGGGGGATGCCATGTACCCACCTCCTTCCACCCCCAGCACCGTCCAGGACGCCCATTCGATGGCAGTCCTGACCACCCCTTCTGGGCTACATGGCCAGGGTGGGCCACAGGGAGAGGACCGGGGGTCCTATCCTTTCATCTTGTGGGATCCTTCACACTTGATGGCTGAGGGCCATAGAGCCAAGAACCAGCACAGACAGCGCTGCCCTGTGTCCAGATCAGCAGCCTCCAGCTCCAGCCTCCATGCAGCCCGGTTCACTGGGTCAGGAGTGGCCACCTGGTCCTAGGCCTCAGGCTTCACACCCTCTTCAGGGCTGGCAGGGCCCAGGAGCGCTGCCATCTCCAGCTTAACTCTGCCAGGGACAGTGGAGAGGGAGTAGAGGGGACACCCACTTGCACACATGACATGCATGTGCAAGGTCAGAGCCTATTCACATGCACACTTAAACATACGTGCATACACATGCACACACCTGCACACACACCTGTGTTGTATACCCATACACAGTTACCACACACAAGTACATGTGCACACAGTGCACAGTGCATACATGGCAAACACACATGCACACACAGCTGCACATCCACTCACGCATATGCACACCTCACATATGCATGAGCACATGAGCCACGCCCCACCTTCTTTCTCCCAGAGCAGAGGTACCCTGCTAGCCAGCAGGTGCAGGAGGGGCAAACCAAGGTCCGAGACCATGAAGGCTGGTTGCTGGACATCTGTCTTCTGATGTGGTCACTCAGTTGGCCCTGGAGGTCCAGGTTGGGGTGGGGGGTGGCAGGAGGAGCCAGTTGCTGTCCAAGGGCGTTAGGTAGGAGAGCCATGAGAGTGAGGGAGTCCTGGGGATTATGGAGGGGCCTGGGCTGAGCACAGGCGGCCTGGACTCCATACGGCTGGGAAGTCTCTCTTCCTTTAGCCAGATGAGAGCCCCAGTAGCAGGGAAGGGTTGCCAGCCACGGTCCCCAAGGTAGGGGACCAGCCCAAGTGTCCAGACTGGTCAGCTCTGCACAGTCCCCAGATCAAGGCCCCCAGACTGGGCAGGCTGAGACAAGAGCGCCTTGCCCCATTGTTGGAGCTGCCGGTGGCCTGTGCTCCGTGCCCAAGGCCCAGCCTCTGTCCCCCATTGCCACACGCCTGCTCCTCAGGAGTGTCCTTGTCTGTGTGCAGATTTGCTGCTTCCTGTGGACACCAGTCACTGGACCTGGGGCTGGGTTACCCCTCTTGCAGCATGGGACCCCTCTGGGCACACTGTCTCCACATGAGGTCATGGCCACAGGTTGGGGGCATGGAATCTAGGGGGCCCTATTCAACCCAGGATAGCAGCTCCCGCTGCAGAGGCCTCCTGGGCCCTCTCCTTTGTCTCCATCCAGGCAGGGTCGCTGCTCAAGGCCCAGAGGCTGAGGTCCCATGGGACTCTGAGTGTGTCTGTACCTCCCCTGCTTCCAACCTCTGCAGCCTGCCACACAGCCTGGACCTCTCACTGGTGAAAAGCACACCTACTTCTGGTCTTGCCCAGGAAGCCATCACTCTGGAGCCCACACAGGCTGAAGTGGCCTTGGACTCCCTCCCAGAAAATCTACCAGTCAAGGCCACAAGTGTCCAGCCTTGAACAGAAGCCCACCGGCACCATCACCTTTTGCTGAGCCATGGCTCTGCCTCTGTCAGTGCCACCTATGTGGTGCCACCTGTGTAGGGCCATCAGCCTCTGCATCTGCAGTTTCTGCATCCACAGTTCCAATCAGGCGTAGATCCAAACATTCAGAAGAGGCCGTGTGCACTGAGCTAAGCAGACTTTGCCTGTCATTATTTCTTGGTGTGCCATGGGACGTCTCACTGTGCTAGGTGCCCTGGGTTAGTCCAGAGGTGATCTGAGGCCCAGGGAGGTCACACCTCGGTTACATGTTGGCAAGCATGGCATTGTTTGACATCTGGGACTTGGGTGTCCGTGGAGTCTCCCATCCCAAGGGAACCTGGGTCTAGTCCCCAGGGATCCTGAGTGAGCTCACTTGGGGAAAGTCCCTTGGGCTTGCCCTGGGTGGGGGGCACAGACCCTGGAAGTAGCTTGGGAAGCTGCATCTGAGGTAGGATGGAGTTCTCACTCTTCCGTGTCCACGGGTTATCGGTCATCCTACCCAAGATGGCAACTTGAGGAGCCCATGAAGTCTGAAGGAGCAGGGTGCTCTGGGGGTACAATGTACAGTCAGTCACTGTATCCTGTTACTTTCTGCATAGTGACTTCTGGGCTCCTGAAGTGGCCCTCGGGGAATCCAGCATTGCCTGTGCAGCCTTCAGAAGGGGACTGGCTGTAATGGCTCTCCCTGGTGAAGGGGAGGAAGGCCCTGCCCAAAGAGGCTTCTGGAAGCAGCCTTGTGGTCTCCCCCGACCCTTCACCATGTAAGGAGGCCCTCAAGAGACTTCACCCTCGGAAGGGTGAGGAAGAATTTCTGTTCGGTGTAAGCTGCCCGGGCTCCGGAGTCCAGGACAGCAGCATGTGCTGAGAGAAGAACCACACGGTACCTTGGATTTTAACTGTGGTGAACCATGCAGATCGTGACATTTGTCGCTGTCACCATTCTAGGGTGCGGCCTAGTGGTTTTAGGCCCATTTGCTCTGTGGTGTGGCCCCTGCTGCCATCTCAGAGCCTCCTACCTTGTAACTCTCTGTGCCCTTGAAACCCTAGCCCCCGTCCTGCTTGGCCCCAGAAAATCCCGTGTTCCCCGTGGTTCTGTGAACCCGACTTCTCTGGGGACCTCAGAGGGTGGAGTCCTTAGGATTTGTCATTTTGTGGGCACCGTCATTTTCAGGGGCTGCAGCACCTCTTCCCCACTGCCAAGGACCCCAGGTCCCTCTGCCAACACTGGGGTGTCCTGCTTGGCTCTCATGGCAGGCAGGGATGCTGTCCACACAGGAGCTCCTGTCCAGGTCAGTGCCAGCTCCTGTCCCAGCTTCCTCCTCCCCACTCTCACCAGTCTAGTGCTGAGGGTCAGGGCCAAGCGTGCCAGGGTCAAGGTGTTGGTAGCTTTGTTCCCTAGGGCCAGGCATGTCCTGGCTTGGGGTACAGTGGGCTCTGCCTGTGTTCATCCAGGCCTTGGCTGGTGTGGGACGATGGAGTGGGACCAGCAATGACTTGGGGGTCCTGCTGGGATCTGGGGTCTGGGTGTGTGCACTGTGAACCCACAGCAGCACCTCATTAAATGGCCAAAGAGGAACAGGAGATGAGGAGCCCAGAGGGGTGGGGCTGGCACAGAGCCCACCCAGCCCTGGCAGCTTTAAACCCCAAGCTTTTAGACAGGAGAGGAAGAGGTTCTCACCATGACACCTGATGCTGACACCCAGTATATCAAACCCAGGCTAGAGCAGCCTGGGATGGCCTAGACTCCCCACAACCCCGGAACCCTGAGAAGCATAGTGTGATCAGCACTGAGGGAACCCGTGGCTTCACTCATGGCAGGGAGCCAGGCTTCCTCCAAGGCCCCTGAGTCCACACAGAACAGCTGGACATGGAGGCCCTGGAGCACTGTGGAGGCTCAGGCTACTCCAAGGCCATCTGCACTGCAGGGGTCTTGGGATGAGGCCTGGGGACAGGGTCAGTGTCATCCTGGGCTCCTCAGCTTAATCCTGGGATCCTGGCAGGGAAGAGGGGCTGGCCTGGTGGGCTGGGGACATTAACCTGGGGTGAGGACATGAACCTGGGGTGGAACGTGTGTAGAAGGAAGTCCTCGAGCCACACTCAGTGCCACTGGGGTGGAGTTGGCCAGACCTGGGCTGGTGGGGGCACAGCTCAGGCAGCGGGTGTGGGAGACAACTCCAGTGACCCCCTTTGAATGCAAAACAATTACTGTGACTTTGATTATTTGGAGACTCATTTCCTTATACTGATATGTAGAGAGCTGGCTCTGGTATTTCCTTCTCTCTTCACTTGGTGCTAAACATTGCAAATAAGGCTAGCTGAGGTGCTGGTGTGTAATCTC